GAACTTACCCTGATTCCTGCCAGTTTTACAGTGTTCTTTTTACCTTTGTTTGACATGTGCTGATCTTACATCTACAAAAACAATATTGAAAACTTATGTTGATAAATCTGACAGTAAAATGAAATCTTATTTGTGAAGAAGAATTTGGAAAAGTATTTCTTTCTATTGTGTGTAACAATTGCCTCAGTAAAGAAGGTGGTGTCTGAATTAAGAAGAACTACTCCAGTAAACGAGTAATTTTGCTGAAAGTCCTTACACATTGATTTTTGCATTTCTGAAACTAACTAGTATGAGGTCTGCATCAGGAGCAGTATAGGAGAGGCTTTAGCTGTGCTTTTAAAGTGCCTATAAATGAAGCATTTGATTAACTGTACAGTAGGTGAAAACAATGCAGTAGTGAAAACAATAAAATCCTGATGTAAGTTTATCTGGCATAAAACCCCCCAACAGAACAGAAGGCAATAGACAGGCAGTAGGAAAGTATAGCTGAAGTTTGTGGCACTGTGTGTGAGAAGGGGATCTGCTTCTCCTGCCCCTTCTCCTCAGTTCTACTCTCACTGACTAATCTTCCTGATGTAATCTTGAAAGGAAAATCTGTGACTGTGGGGTCTTTTGTAGTGGTGGTGATGGCTACAGAGACATGTTGGGAGAGCTGGACCAAGCCTTTTCTTAGTGCATTAGTGTGTTCAGACAGTTTCAGTCTGCTTCTGTGTGATACAAGGAGCTCTGGCACATTCTTCTTCCAGAGATCGAATTCCACATGTTGACCATAAAAATCCGTGCAAAGTTGCAGGAAGGCACATGTGTGTGGAGTCAAATAATACTCTTAGACAGGTATGAACATACCCCCGACTCTGCAGGTTCTTCTAGTGTTTGCAGAGCCACAGAAAATCACACCATGATGCCAAGTACCCTAAAGCTTCACAAACAGGGAATGGAAACTTAACTACAGAAAGCTGTACAATGTGGTCCCTTCCAACCTGACCATTCAGCCATTCTGTGATTGTGTCACCTTGCCAAGCTCAGCAGCAGCTGCATCAGGCAGGCCCTTGCTAGTGTTGGCTGTCTGTGAGGAAAAGTTGGACTTTAGGACCCTGACAGGCATGGGGTTAATTTTTGTCTCCGTGTTAACTGCTTTACATCAAGTACTTATCTGTGCCCTTGGTCTGAGGTGGCTCTGAGGCTGGACACTGGACAAACTGGCCTCAACTTCCTCCCTTATAATGGTGAGCTTTTGCACAAATAGGGCCAGCAAAGAAAAATCTCAGAATCTAAGGAATTTCCTATGATTCTCTGAATCCTCAGAAAACCCTATGAAAATAATGAGAAAAAAATTTCCACCTTTAAAATACAAAGGTAAATAATGTGTACTTGCAGTATTCTCCTAAGTAATTACGAAGATGTTGATGCAGAGGAAGAGGCGTGATGAGCCATGATGACAGTATGACCACAGGAGCTCTTTAAGCCCTCTTACAATTATTTGAAAAGTTGATATGCTTTTAATGTCCCTAGCTAAAGTGGTAGCTATGATGCTTCTGGTGTTTTGCAGTGGAAAAATATATGTATTGTGCAGACAATCCTTTGGTGATGGTAGCAGAATGCAGTCTCTTAAGTGGTGAGGGAACAGAGATCTCCACCTTTGCCAGCGGTGGAGGTATTTAAAATGCTTTATTAGGACTGAATTTTAGAGGACATAGCTTCCTCTGTAGGTATTTATACAAGAAAATTAGCCTGCTCATCAGATATTTTGCTCAGCAATAGAACAGCCTTTGAAAGATCATCATAATAGTGGGCAATCCTTTGTAATACATGTGAATGTTTTTCTCTGTTTTAAATAATGGACTAAGGTTTATCTCCTGCACAGTTTAATGGTAGAGTGGACCAGTCCATTCAGTATGAATGTATAAGAAAATGGTCCACTGGAATAAAGGCTGCTTTTAAAAGCATTTTGAAATTATAGGAATGGTATAAGGAATGTTGAGCCTATGCCAGTGAGGAGATACATTGTGTTTTGTTCAGAAAATTTATCCTTTGTGCATATATATTTTCTTAGCTCCCTGTGCCAAGCTGAACGTCTGCAGACACCTGAATACTTCACCCTCTGTGAATAAACACTCAGCTAGTGTCAGAGAAGAATGTGCCAGGATTATTTAATCATTAGACAGAGGGGAAAAAAGTCTGTCATGACCTACCGACCAGACATTTCTTGGCAACTGCTAATCAACAATGTTAGCCTTTTATTGTCTCCCCTGCCGTTATCTTCCAGGAAAGGTCTGAGAAAGAGGTCAGAGTAGCTTAAGTAGGTATTGGTTCATTTGTTATCTTGCATGCAGTATGCTGCAGTCAACAGTCTGCTCTCCATTGAAGGTGAAATACTTCACCTTAATTTGTCATGTTCCTTTACTGTAGAATTTGGCAACCAAATTCAAAAGATAAGAATACTTTCTGGTGGGAATGTTTCTGAGAATAACTTTTAATGCTTTCTATGAGAATTAATTTTTGAGAGATCTATATTTGGTAAATCACAAACTCCTTCCTCATTGGCAGTCTACAGAAAAAACACATTAGAAAAGTGGGCTGGATCTTAACTCAGATTTCCAGCTCCTAAGACTGTCTCTGTTCAGGTAAGAGCTGTATTCTATGCTTACCTTTGAACAGGCAATTGGATTTGCATTCCTTTCCTCAAAAAGCCTTTCTTGGGTGGCATACCCCCCAAAAAAACCATTAATTCCGAGAAGAAGATGAGGAACAAAAGGGTAAATTATAGGAAAAATTCACTTAGCACCTGCTTTCTCTCACACAAGTATATTGTGTAGACAGTGGTAACATGCATGGTGTCAAGTGACTATACCTGAAATGTTACATTTTTTAAAAGGAATTTAAAATTAAAGACAGTGTTATCTTTGATCAGAAATTGTTCATTATTCAGCTTTGTTCACCCATGCTGCCTTAACAAAACACTGCTGCACAGGAAAACCAGAAATTTGATTGCTTCTTTTCTGGGAATGGAAGTGTCTAGCCTAAGGCACTGGGGAATTTCTCTTACTTTCTTTTTTGCTGTAATACTGGAAACATTTTAAATTTGTTCAAGCTTCTATGGGAAGCCAACACAGACTATCCTCCTCTCCAGCACAGAACAGCAGCTGGCAAAAAAATGAGTGCCACCACAGGTTTCATGGTAGCCATTAGGCAGCCCAGGACTCATGGACCCTGGACATGCAGGGTAATGCAAGAAATGAGAGAGATCCACCTCCTGTCTCAAATCCAGCAGTAGCAATGAGGATTCCCTTCTGCTCAGGAAAATCTGGATTTGCAACATGTGACCAGCCTCTTTTGAGGCATCCCAGTAGATAGCTAAAGGCATGGTTTCCATACCCACTGAAAAGGGCTAATGTGGCAAAAGAGTTACAAATGTTTGACCTCACTGGGATTTCCTGTTGTGCCATTTGGTCTTTCCTCACTTCCACATGCTGTACCCATTCCCAATCAGTTTGCTGAACTAAAGATAATTAATCTCTGCCAGAATGGTTACTTTAGGTTTTCATTCTGTGAAGACAAACCTCATTCTTGTTACGGCCAGAGCTGTAGGAAATAGATTTCCCTTCTCTTCTGTGCAACCTGTGCAAACCAAAACCATTTTCTTTTTACCAAGTAGTGGCATAAAGTCTGCGCCGAAGCTTTAATGTTTCTAGGAAATAACTTATGAACCCTTTGTCTATTGTGTGAGGCCACACAGGTACAAAGTGGCATAAGTCAGAACAGAGATTTTGGGATTTGCAAAGGTGGAATTTCAAGCAGAAAAGGTCAGGGGTTCTGTAGAACAGAGAGACCAGCTAAGCCATTGATCTCATGGAGCAAATACCAGTCTGCTATACTGCAGGAGAAATTCTGGACCTTTCAGTGAGGCTGGCCTGAACAGGATGGCTCAGGTGCAAAGAAAGACAGAGCATGCCAGAATTGATTTTTCCTTTAAAAGTGCATGCATCTGTCATGCAATGTTTTTGCATCTAGCCTCAGGGAGTAGGTTGTCTGGAAGGTCCAAGCACATGAGCTTTTCAATCTTATGTTTTGCATCAAGAAGCTAGATGTTTATATCACTTGTTGAATTTGAGCTTTATACCCTGACATTTGGATAAGATGTTTAAAAATAAAAGATCATTTTATTTGCGTGCAAAAGTTCTCTCTTCCCTGTGTTGCATCAGAGCAGCTGTTGTTGTGCTCTGCTTTTTTCTTTCTGGGACTGTCTGTGACAGCCACCAGCCATCCTGTTTACAGTCGTTAGCGCAAGGAAATTGGAAACTGCAGCTACTGGAACATGATTATCTTCTTCTTCATGTCAGGTTTGTCTTTTACTGTGACACAGCAAAATAAATGTTTGTACAGCTAATAAGACATTTATCTAGAGATAAGCAGAAGTGCCATGTCCTTGCTGAATGAGCTGCTGATGTAGAGCTAATTTTGGACCAGCTTACTAGAAGTGGTGATACAGAAGTGTGACAAAAAGGGGCAACCTCCCCCAGCCCACAGCCCCTCTATAATCAGAAGTGGAGAAGCCTCTAAAGCAATTGCAGCAAGATTTAGATAAGAGCCCTGAAGCAAGCAAACGCTGGCGTCTTTGTTAGCTTCTAGGAAAGGACAGTCTTGTGCAATGTTTAGTTAAAGGCTTATACCACTCGTAAAGGTTCTTGACTGAACAGCAGTCTAATTAAAATTTCCTCCAGTTCAGTGATCAAAGTGAAACAATGCCTAAAACTCAGGACTGTGCAACCCTTGTTTTATAAAGATAACGGTACACAATTGCATTTTTGTCACTGAGGAGTATGGAGAATTAAATAAGACATAAATCTGTCTGTGAAATGAACAGTTTTGAACAGTACATGCAAAAGGTCTGTCTGTTCCACAGTAATTAGTGTTTCATTGTACTTTTTTAACTTGCTGAATTCACAAAACACACAAAATTACAATTTAGAAAATGTGTGAAAAACAAAGAGACAAAAGACTTCAATTGTTAAAGCTGCCTTTTATTTTGAGTTTATTTTCTCAATCTTAATTAGATTCTTTTTATGGCACACAGCATCAGAATCAGCACCTTTGCATTTACAAATTACAGGGAAGCCCTGTCAATTTGTTTCCCTAGTTTCAACTTTCAAATCATGCAGAAAGCCTTATTCTTTGTTCCTTTTTTCTATGAAAGGCTTAACAGCACATTGCTGCAACAAAATCATGTTATGAGGGTGGGTTCCATTCACAAAATAAATTTACTACACATTAGATGTTGATTAAGTAATTTCATCATAAATGAAAACTATAATGCAAATGCCTATAGATATATATACACACACACACAGTGCAGCTTTTGTTATGTGCTACCTTATCTTGGTTTTTGTTATGCTCCAGATCACAACAGTATCATTAGTGCAAATTAATGAGATTTAACTGTAAAGTTATTTTTTAAACAGTAACTGTAAAGTTATCTTTTAAACAGCCACTTGGACATATTTCAACTAATTTAGGCCACTGTAATGAATTAATTTTCAGCATCTGATTTGGCAACTGATTTCTCAAGCTCCTCTTCAGGATTAGATTTCTTCTGGTTTGGGATAGCAGGTAGGACACAGCTTGGTTTTAGATGCTCTCCTGATAGACCAGGCAGGAGAGAATAGAGGATCTGACTCTGAGAATGTCCTCTTTTCGGAGATCTGGAGACTGGAGCTGGTGGGAGAATAACTGCACCAGTCCGTAGGGACTTAAACTTCTTAGCATCCTGAGATGGCAGCTGAACTAGAGGAAATAGGAAAAAAGAGAAAGTGCACAGAAAGTGAAAAGCATGGCATTTTTACAAATGATTTTGCAACTTCCTTTGAACTGTTGTCTCTTACTGTGTGTACTCAAGCCTGTACTTGAAAAATGTGATCAAAATACTAATAAAATATTGTATTTTTGTATTCAGATGAAGATAAGCCTGGCAAGGGTTATCTTCATCTGAAGAAAACAACTCCAGTGTTAAGTGATTTACTTTCAATTTAGTGACCAGTAAGTCTTGAAAAGTTCAAAAATTTACTTTTGATAAGCAGAGAACTCATCATTTGTCTGAAGGAGACTTGGTCCATTTGAGAAATTTTCACAATATATTTTTTCATTAGAAATCACAGACTGACTGTAACAGAAGTGTTCCATGGGAACATATTATTTCTAACAAAAATGCTCTATTGCTGAAGGTAAATGCTGATCAAAATCTAAAGAAGATGAAATGGAAGAATGTGGGATGTTGTGTCTGGGTTCCTCTAGGCACAGTTGATCGTAAACACAAATCCACACATGCTCTGCTATGCAAGGGCCACAAAAGTAGCCCATGACCCTGTAGCACACCAAGACACACCAAAGCACTTGAGAGGCACAACCATTATGTATCTCTGTTGTTGTCCTGTAAGAAACTGTGGCTTTAGATAATCCCTAATTTCCAACTCACAGTCATCAGTGTAACATTGTTTGTGCTTCAAAGCTAATATAGTTCTGTGTTTTCTTTAAATTGAAATCATCAGGCTCCTTCATTCAGACAACTCACTAATTCCCTGATTTTTAGAAGGAGAATTCAAAACCATAATTGTAGACCTACTTGTCTATGCCGTCAATTTATTGTGAACTGCATTAGCTTCTTTTCATTTGATCTCAATTTTATTCACAAATTCTTTGCATACAAACAGTTTTGTTTTTTATAGTTTAAGCATATAAAGAGTTCATTCTGGAGCTATCATCTCTGTTTTGGCAACAGAATCTTGCAATTTTTTACATTCTTTTTTTTTTTGGTTGCATTCTCATTGCATTTGTGATTTCCTTCCATCTGTGTATTTGTGATGAATTATCTGAAAGGCTATTAACACTTTCCTCTTCAGTGCTCTAGATGGAAATTTTGTGCTTCATTTAATTTGCCCCACTGAAAATAAATGTTACCTCTCTAATGTTGGCAGTGGGTCCTCACTGCATATATTTGTCCATCCATCTATCTATCTATCTATCTATCTATCTATCTATCTATCTATCTCTATCATCTATATCTATCTGTCTATCTATCTATCTATCTATCTATATCATCTATATCTAATCTATACCTATATTTATACCTATATCATCCATCCATCATCTATCTATCTATCTATCTATCTATCTATCTATCTATCTATCTCTATCTATCATCTATATCTATTTGTCCATCTATCTATCTATCTATCTATCTATCTATCTATCTATCTATCTATCATCTACATCTATCATCTATATCTATCTATCTATCTATCTATCTATCTATCTATCTATCTATCTATATCATCTATATCTAATCTATACCTCTATTTATACCTATATCATCCATCCATCCATTATCTATCTATCTATCTATCTATCTATCTATCTATCTATCTATCTATCTATCTATATCTATATCTATCATCTATATCTATTTGTCTATCTATCTATCTATCTATCTATCTATCTATCTATCTATCTATCTATCTATATCTATAATCTATATCTATTTGTCTATCTATCTATCTATCTATCTATCTATATCTATCTGTCTATCTATCTATCTATCTATCTATCTATCTATCTATCTATCTATCTATCTATTATCTATCTATCTATCTATCTTAACTATACACATGGTACAAAAGAGGCTAAAATTCTTGTCATAATCCCCTGTGGCATGCACCTTATACTAATTTAATAATTGATTATTTATTTTTCAGGAGCAGTACTTTTCTAAAGCTTACCAGGTATGGATTTAGGGCAAAGCAGGATCTTTATAGAGAGGATTTAGAAACTTGGTAGATTCTTTTCTTTTTAAGCTAATTTCAATTACTACTCAAGTTGTGATTACCTGAGCAGACAGTGTTTACTACAACTGCCTGGCCTCCAGCAGTGTACTGTAATTCATTGGTCATATTTAAGATTCATTCATGTTCAGAAATTCAGTAAATCACTTCTCCTTTCCATGAAAAACACCCAAACCATTAATATTTTGCTTTAGTTGGTACTGAATTTGTGTGAGTCTGGGAGGGCTATATACAATAAATGAGCTCATTTGTTTTCTGGCACATGTTAGAATACTTTGAGTTCACTGAAATTTTGGTGAGGATTCAGCAAATGTTGAGAGGCTCACTTGTGTCCCTCTTTGGAACATAGTCATATGTTAATATAATAAAAGTTCACATCTGTGTGAAAAACATCTATAAAGCTTTATGTCCTTTATGTACATCATGAAAAACTTTAAATGATAGACTTAAGTAGGCCAAAACCACTGTAGCTTAACTTCACCCCCATGACAGAGCAGCCATCACAAACTCATGCTCATTCAAAGAATCCAAACACCAGTGCCTTCCACACTGTCCCACATACTGTGCTCAGTTTGGGATATTCAATTTAGGATTTCAGGGCTGGTACATGGATGGCTCTGAAACCATGCAGAAAATGACTAGTATTAGTAAATGTACTGAAACACACGAGCCTGGACCCAGAGCTGGCATCTGTGGGAGGCAGAGCCCTTAAGGCCCCAGGAGTTACACTTAGGAAAAGCACCATTAATGATCACACAGAGGGCAGAGTTGGTCACCAAAGACCTGAACAGCAGGAGCTACTGCTTCAGGAAGCCTTTCCCACTCAGCAGAGACTCTGGAGTGGCTGCTATTACAAACTGCAGAGGCAAAAACAAGGCTGTCTGTCGCAGACATCTTTTTATGAAAATCCTTTTCTTAGGATTTTTTCCTGCTGAGAAGCTGAGACGTTTCAGCAACAAAATGTAAACAATGGTTATCTGCTGCTGTGGAATGCAACAGGTGATTGGCCCATCTTGGATGTTTACAATTAATGGCCAACCACAGCCCAGTTAGCTTGGACTCTCTGTCCAAACCACAGACCTTTGTTATTCATTCTATTCTATTCTTGGCTTAGCTAGCCTTCTGAGAGGAAACTTTTCCTTCTATTCTTTTCTAGTATAGTTATAATGTAATATATATATCATAAAATAATAAATCAAGCCTTCTGAAACATGGAGTCAACATTCTCATCTCTTCCCTCATCCAAGAAACCCTGTGGATACTGTCACAGCTGTCAGAAAGGCATTGCCCAAGGAATATGGAGTCCAACAGAAGAATGGGTCTTAGACTCCCCTCCCTTCCACGCAGTGGACAACCGTGGCCTTCTGCAGTGGTGTGGGTGCTTTGTGGAATGTTTTGCTGTTAACTTGGGAAAGAAGAAACATAAAATCACGATGAATAATGGCAAAAAATACCCCACAGATCTCCAGAAAATACTGTTAAATGACCTGTAGAAACAGATTTTAAGTTTTTTTTTTTGAATTTGTTGTTGTGGTGTTTTTTTTCCCAGCAATTAATAATGTCACCTTTTTGTGTATCAGACACATGTTGTCTCCTCTGATGCTTCCAGAAATATCTGACCTTCTTAACTACATGAAGAAGTGAGAGCAGCAGAGAGTTCTCTAGAAGTTCCATATTTGTTTGAAGATTTATTCTGGCATTTTGTGGGGAGTGTGTGACAGTCTGTTTTCCAGGGGTTGTTGGAAGTGTTGCATGATGAGATAGAAAGATGTGTGGGGGATGAAGCAGCAGCCTGCAGAATAGGAGATGCAGTCTGTATTGAGGCTACTCAAGAAGTCATGTGAGGGATCTCTGGCCCTGGGAATATCTGAAGGGTGAGAATTTATTGCTTAAAATCACTCAAGTACTCTTCCCAGGCTACTGTTTCATTCCTATTTTCCTCTATATTTTAAAACATTTTTATTGAGAGATTTAATAAGTTCTTCCTTCTTTTTTCATTGCTCTTCCTTTTTGGGGGGAGATACTTCTTCTTTCTCTATTTCTGAGTAGTTTCAGTTCTCATTCTAGTTTTTGCTTATTTTATTGTTCCAACTTCTTGGTAGCGGTTTGTTTTTTTCTTTTTTTCTTTTTTTCCTTAGTGTATTTTTAACACACGTTTTGTGTATTAAAAATACTAGAGAAAAAATTTGTATTCATACTTTGTTGCTGGAGCACTTTACCTGGATAAAGGCTATGTCCAAAAGAATAATACTTTTAGGGCTGGATGGAGGATGAGTGTGAAATCTCATACTGAGATGAGACTCTGAAACAGTAATTTAGAAAGCTTCATCAGCAAATACGTCATTTGTGTTAACAAGAAATAAAGTCTATTTTGCAAATAATTTTGGCTTGAACTAATGTTCAAGCAGTAATGGCACCTGGATAAATGTGCTGTATTAGTTAAAAAAGCCATGATTCTTAATTGTGACAATTGTATCTTATTTGTAAAACAGTTTTTGGCATGAGACTAGAACTAAATTCTTGACCACTTGTATGAATTAATGCAAGAAAAACAATTATTAGGAAAGATTTTTTAAGATTTTGCTTACAACTATGATTTAACTAGAAGACACAGAGAACAGGAGTAGAAAGCCTAAAAACCAGAATGCTTGGACCTAGGGTTTTAAAAGCAATCAAAAGCAATTAAATTATTTTCTTTCTTCTGAGCAGACAGAGAATACCACCTCAGTAATTCAAACACCTTTTCTTCTTCCTGTCTCATGTAGAAAACAGCAGCAGCACAGGATTCTGTATATCCCCACCCAATCTGATGTCCCTGTAAGGCTGCCTCTGCCTCTTTTCTAGCAATATTGTCATCACTGCAGATTTGCTTCTGACATTCAGATTATAAGTGGCAGAGAATCTTAAATTTAGATCTGAATGTTTTTGGACCTGGCTGATCCGCAGGATGACAGTCAGCAAACTGTAAATCCTCATCCAGTATCAAATGGAGATTTGTGCTTTGTGGAGCACAAGAATGTGAGGTTAGGACACTGCTGGGAGTAGGGCTGATGTCCGTGTATGAAGAAAACTACAGCCTGGAACAATCCCAGTCTTGACACTCTGCTGGGACTCTGGAACTGGGGTGAAACTCTCCTGCTCTTTGGGACCACTGCTTCTCCATGCTGAACATGAGCCAACAATGTGCCCATGCAGAAATACAGCCAACAGCATCCATGGCTGTATTTCAGGAAGAGCACTGCCAGCAGGTTGTGACAAGTGATTCTTCCCCTCTACTCAGCTTGGGTGAGGCACATCTGGAGTTCTGAGTCCAGTTCTGAGGCTCCCAGTATACAGAGGGAGGGGGACATCCTGAAACAAATCCGATGGAGGGCAGTGAAGATGACTAAAGGGTTGGAGTGTCAGCCTTAAAAGGGAGACTGACCATGCTGGGGCTGTTCAAGAAGAGAAGGCAGCTCAAAGGATCTTGTCAATATGTATAAATGTTTGATTGTGGGGAGTAATGGAGAAGGAGACAGACTCTTAGTGGAGGCCTATGGAAGGAAAAGAATCAATGGCCACAAATAAGTACTAAGAAACTTTTTTCTCAGAGGGTAGTCAAACACTGAGAGATGACACAGATAAAGTGTGTGGTCTCAATCTCCATTCTCAGAGATATTTAAAACAAAACTGGTGTGATCCTAGGCAATGTGCTGTAGGTGACTTCTCTGTGGACATGAGGATGGACAGACAGTCTCCAAACGTGTCTTCCTACCTCAGCCATTCCATGATACAGTGAAAAATAAACATGAAACCCCTCTCAAGCACTCAGACACTACTGATTGAGGCACGCAGAGTGATACAGTAACTGACACTTGTCTGTACTTACTTTTGTGAGCACTGTGGTTGGGTATTGGAGCTAGGCTGTTCTGTACAGGAATAACATTTTTCATTTTGTGTTGGTCTATGGACATCTGTCGAAAACTTCTACCTGTGAAAGAAAAATAAAATTATTATGGAAATAATTGTAACTAGTGTAGTGCACTGTGCATTTCTGGCTTCCAGAAAAGAAAACTTAGTACTTCTCAGAAATATGTAATAACAAGAAACCACTGACTGAAAAAAAAGAAGCTGTTGCGTAGTTCACTTTACACTCACAAAAAGGACTGACTGATTTAGTACAACCTTCACATATACACTTATAGTTTCCTCTCATATAATATAGCTTTAGGTCTTAAAATGGGCACAGTTTATTAGCTAGGTCTCTGTAAGAATCTTTGGAATCTAAATCTGTAAAATTATTCAAATAGATGATTTGATTTCAAAATTGAAGCTTTAGTTTTCAAAATGTCCTGATAAGGTCTCAGCCTTTATAAGTATTAAAACAAAACCAGAGTTCAACTGCTGGTTGGAAAATGACATTGAAAGCTATTAGCAGTAAAGACGAGCTTTGAGAGGGTTTTTTTGCAGATGAAAGCATATCATAACTGATAGAAGGCTATACTGATCCTTATTAAACCATGTTCATGGCAGTATCATTTTTATCACGAAGAGTATATACTGAAAAAGGAATGGTTGGTTAATTCTGGCATGTCATTATTTAAGATTAAAGTTAGCTTAGGTCTAATACTATTAAAAAAGACAGTAAGTTAGATGATGTAATGCATTTCATTGCATAAAGGACACTTCTAATACTGAAAAAAATAAAAACTCAAGCACCAAGTCAACATTTTTACCAGATCCTTTTCCTGAGCTGATCTTATTCTGTGATGCTTGAGTCCCTCAAATTATTTTTCATGTTATCACCAAGTCTGTGATGAGCCATGTAATGAGATGTCTTGGCAAGCAGCTGCTCATCCAGCATGGCTTTGCAACATAGCTCATTGAAGAGCAGGCATATGCTCTGTCAGCACACAGGGACAAGGGGAGACACGGGGTGGATGTAGCAGGACACCCTAAGCAGGAGGAAGAGATGGAATGACATTAATTGCCTTTCTGGCTTTGCAGCTGGTACTTGAAAATACCTATGTGTTGTTGGGCTGTCCAAGATAAAGCTGTAAGAAAACAGTTTTCTAACAGTTTTCTAAATGTGCACGGAAGTTGCTGTCACACAGATTCTGTGTGAAAGGAGTTACTGTGGTGTTGGTCAGGGAAGCCACCACGTCACAGTGCAGCCTTCAGCCCAGCCCGGAGCAAGGCTCTGGTCTAAAAGCCACAACAGTTGATAGACAATGGGTCAGTCTGCTGGATCCTGTGGTTAAGCTGATGTGCTTGAGCTAAAGCATGAAGAATCTTGCATGAAGAATCTCTGCTTAACAGAAATAGACTTCAGTCTGGTTTCCCTGTGTTTTACTTTTTAATAGCTCTAGTGTCTAGTTGGTAAATTTCTTCTATAGACCTTGCATCCACTTTGCACAAAGGACTAAATATATCAATTCCAATATAGCAGACAATTGTTTGGTGCTCTCATTAGAGCAATTCAAGTTATATTGGTTTCTGTGATGCTTATGCTGAGAACTAATGGCTTATTGTCTATGTACCATTATGGCTTTGATGATGGGAGGCTGTTGTTGCTATCAAGAGATATGTTCATTTCATAAATGGGATATCTGTCAGCAAAACAATGGTATAAAACATAATCATGTTTGCAAGGATTATATGAATGCTTGGAAAAGAATCCTTGTTAAAAGTTTTGGCATCAAGTGGAAGTTTTCTTCTACTTTTCCTTTCTATCCATTTCACATAACATCTGGGAAAATAGTTTTTTTCTCTCTGAGACATCATCTTTGCTGTCCCCAAGAACACATTTATGATGCAATTATTTCTGAATAAATGGAAGAAACCCAATTTCATTCTTATAAAAGTTAGGACTACATTTGGGTCTTTTTAGAGGCTGTATTTTTTTTCTTTAATTTTTCCTTGCATTTAGGAAGGTGAACCACATAGTAATGTATTTTGTGTATAAGTTGTTAATGTTATGATGAATGTCTCAGAGTAAGTTGGTTCTTAAATTTGGGAAAGTGACAGCCACACTGATCAGCTTTGCTCTGCTTTCCTAGACAAAAATGCTTCTTGTTGAACAGTACCATACTGCTTATACCATCATAAACTTAATAATAGGCCATTTTTTACATAAGCTTTTCAAGCAAACAGAAGGTACTGTAATAAAATCTGTAATAAAGTATCATCTTACATCTGGAAATTTAGTAACCCAAAAGACAAGTGGGTGATAGGGGTCTCAGAGCTGTCTTATACTTGAGACAGGCTTCCTGTTACCCAAGAATCACTTGGAATTCTCTACTTCCACTATTTTTCCCTGTAGAATGTGGATGGGAGTACATTTTGCAAAAAGAGATGATTGCAAAGCTCATAAGTAAATGCTTCAGATTTTTGATGCTAGCTCAGTACTGTGGGTGGCAAACTCTCATGGATTTTGACAGTTTTTAGTATAGACTGTCTTTGCTCTTCTCAGTGGAGGGCAGTAATTCTGAGAGAAACCAATGGCACAGTAGTAAGGTAATTCTCATTGCTACACACAGCAACCTCTCCTCTTTGTGTGAGTGTTAATGCTCAGCTAGTAAATTGACTCATCTTTCATTCCCAGGAGTACAGATAATAGAACAAAAAACCTCCAAAGGCTTTGACACATGTATGTGCCAGCTGCCTTTGTAGCAAGTGAGCACAAAAATTAGCTTTGACTTTGACAATAGACATGGTCATGCAAGACAATCAACATTCCGTGTCAACAGAGAAAATAATTTTAAAATTGCATTTTCTTAGATTATTGATACCCATAATCCTGGCCTAGATATTCAGTGATTAGGAAATTACATGTAGTCCCCCCAGTCATGAATTGAGAAATGAAGTATTAACATTTCAGTATCTTCCAAAACCGGATGTTGTTTTTTCCCCCCTCAGCTAAGTCTCCTGCAGAAAGAAAGAAAAATCAATTAAAAAAACCAACCAAACAACAAAAAACCCACAAAAAACCAAAAAAACAAACCAACCAAAAAACCCCCCAAAAAACCCCCAAGCCAAACAAAACAAAACAAAACAACAAAACAAAACTAAACTAAACTACACCCAAACCTCAAAAAAACCCCAAAACCAACAATAAACCAACAAAAACCAACAAAAGAAATTTTTCCTCAGAGAGAGGGCTGCCTGCACAGCCTTGCTGGCTGGGCTGGACTGGAACCAGACTTTGCTGCTGATCCCTGTAAGTCCTGCAGGCACAGCACACTGGAGACCTGGAAGCCCTGGAGCTCATACAGTAAATGCAGTTCTAATTCACAGAAAGTCAGGTGGCTTTAATTACAGGGGCAGACAGATTTAAACCACACACATAGGCATGAAGAGGGATAAGCAGATCTTTTTATCACGAAGAAATGTGAGACAATATCTGTGTTGTGCAATGCATTCCTGTCAGACACTCTCTTCCTCCTTAGAGGATTTTAATTCATATGTTTCAGGGGAAGGTCCTTTTTGCCAGCTACAGGCATAGTTTCATTATTGGAAAATGGTATTAAATTTTAAAATGGAGTTGGTACAAAGAAAACTGGACTTAAAGAAGATTCAGGCTTTTTGTTTTCTGAGAGAGATAACAAACTGTCAGTAATAAGATAACTTACCTTCCCTTTGGGCATTCAAAGATGGCTCCCATTATAACAATTAGATTTTTGTTATAGGTTTTCCACAAAAACATTTTTTCTAGGAAAACCACCTATCCTTCTGTCCAGAGTAGACAAGGATTTAGCCATTTTCTTAGCACTGTAGTATACTACAATATTAAGAGAAATCTATAATCACGTTTTAAATAACGTGGTAGTTACTTCCATATCAAATGTATAAATTCCAAGTCTATCAAATTCCAACAGGAAATTTTCCCAGAAATAGCTGTCCTGCAGTTTGGTTTATCCAGCTTGAACTCATTCCTGCTACTGCTGTCAAGTTCAATGATCTCAAATATCTTAGCCTCCCTGTACCCTATTACAGTGAGGCTGTAAAGTGGCCCTGCAGGTATTTGTGTGTTCCACATGTGAGCTGAACCTTGCAGAATTTAGTGTAGAAGGAGTCGTGCAGGAGCAATCATTGCTGGGCATGTGGAGGCTGGGGCTCGTATGGTTGAGTGAGCAGCTGAAGAGTGCATGGTAAAAAAGTACTGACACCTTTGGAGCAGTTCTATTAAGCTTTCAGGAATGTGGCCTGGCGTCCAGGAAATGGCACTTTTAAAGTAGTTTCTTTTTACACCAAAAAGCTATTTCCAGCCTTTATTTGCACAATGTATGTATAATGGCCTGTCATTCTGAAATTGCTGTCTCTGCTCTAGTTGTCAGACCTGTGTGCAAAGATTTGCTTTTTTGTAGTTCACTTCACTTAGATTTCAGAACAGTTTGCACTATCATGCAGCTAAGTGGGGGCTCTTCTTAGGGTTTCTGTTCACTTCTCTTTCCACTGAAGGGTAAGGGCTCATGTCTCTTGGGATAAGTGTAGATTAACTTACTGTAAAATTTTTACTCCTTTTAATGGTATACTGGAAAGTTTGGGGTTTGCTTTTGCTTGCTTCATTTTCAGTTAGATATTGCAGTGGTTAGAAGGTATGCTAGATGTGTTTAATTTTGGCATGGGACTAACCCCAAAGGAGATTAATTTGGAGACACTGATATGTTAAAGTAAACTCCAGAATGCAGGCCAGCCAGGCAGATTCATTTAAACATGGATATGAGTCAAACAAAATACTAGATCCCAAATCCAGCCAAACTCTGGTATCAAGTTCACCTTAGAATTCTAATGCTCTGCTTCATTACTGCTGCATTACAACTTCCAGACCACAGCATAAAAGCATTTGTCCCATCTCTGTAAATTTAGCAACCTGAATTCAGCTTTGGAGAAACCATAAGAACAGCACATCAGACCAAAGAGCTGGCACTCAGGGTGTATTCAGGGCGGGAAGGGGTGCCACTGCAGCCTGGAGTCAGAATATAACTATATAGCATAAAGCTGTTCAGCATGGCACTGGACCTGGCTGGATCCAGAAGCAGCTCTCAACACAGTTAGAGATTTGAGGGCAAGACTGTTCCCCTGCACATCTACATCCAGGACTAGATGTGGACACAAGGCAGCAGGTGTGGTAGTGGGTGTTAATGTGCAATTCACAAAGCACATACATATTACGTGGAGGCACTTATTGCTCAGGTGCCTTATATACTTCCTACATACCTGCATTTTTGCTTGCTCATCAGACCTATTTAATCACCTATTTCTCCTAATTCTCTTCAGCTTCCAACTGATGTCCCACCCACATGCTATCTGTGATGGCCACATAAAGGAGACACGGAAAAAAAAATTTAAAAACAGAAATGTTATTCATCCTTACTTTTTTCTGACTCAATTTGCCACATGAGTAGATATTATAGGATTTAGGATATAGAGAAGGAAAAAAATTACCTGATGGAGAACTGGGAAGTGAAGGAAGGCAGGGAGGGCACAAAAGCACATGGTGAGACCTATCAGAGTCTAAGCCATTCATCAGTTTGTCTGAAGAAGTCCTAGTACAGACTTTGTAAGAGAGCCTTTGGTTAGAATCTGTGTTCCAGGGATCATCCAGCAGAGACTGGCAGCTGTCTGTGTTTTCCAGCAAGTTGTGCTCACTCCTACTCATTTGAGATTTGAATGGAAAATGGTGGGTACTGGAGCTGGAGGAGAAGCTTGACATTTTGCTCTGGGAAGCAGTTAGGAAGGAATTGCCTGCAGTGATTGGGGGGAAGCTCTGGGTGGTGATGGGTGGGAGTCCCTGACATACTGATTTCTTCTTTTCTGCTATGAAGTACTTAGTGTCTGTGCTCTTTCTTTCAAAGTCAGGGGTGGTCTTACACGCATCTGGAATGTCTTCGCAATTTTTATTCATAATGCAATCAAAACGGGTGATGATATCATCTACTTCTGAGGCCTCTTTTCCAGGATATTGATCCCTGCTTCTCTCCTTGTGACTGGTTTTCTGATCATCTTTCTTCTTTTTGCAAGAGAAGATCTGGTTCAGCATACTGAATCGTCCTTCTTTCTTTATAAGTCTGTTGTTCTGAGAGTGCAACTGATGAACAGACTCAGATCTTCTGGAAATACAAAACAAAATGTGATGTCAATACTACCAAACAATGAGAAAATACCATGTGTGTTACTCCATTAAAGAAGGAATATTCTGTCCGGATACATTTGCATGGGTGGTTCAAGAAAATTAGGATCCCAAATTTGTAATTAAAAGACTGAAAATGCTACTGTGTTAATTCACTCTTATAGGTGAATTGTCTCACAATCATCCTAATGATTGTAACTTAGCACAGCTATCTGGGAAAAAAACAAACACATTTTTGTGGCTTCAGTATCTACCAGATGTGAAGATCTAATGATAATGAGAAGAACATGCTGTGATCTTTTAAATCAGGTATTTGTATTATGTCATACTTGGAAAAAGGTTTTCTGGTCATTGCAAACACTGTAAAAAAAGGCACTAGTTCTCCATTCCTACTGTTCCTCTCCCCTTTCCTTTTTCCTCTTTCCCGTTTGCCCTTTCCCTTGTCTTGCTTGTGCTGAAGAGGTCCAGCACAGTTTCAGATTGCTCAAGATAATTACCTACACTAGTGTTGTTGCCTTTTCCAAACTAGAAATGAAACTCAAGATAATTTTAATATGGGAGGTAATATAAAAGTGGACCTTTATTGAGGGTCTTCAGGAGCAGTTATGGAAAGAAGTCCACAAAAGCCCACTGCCACAAGGGTGGCATTTTTATAAGTTTTAGGAAATTAGCATAATTGATAAAAAGCACCAATTAGGAGGACGGGTGGTGATGGAATTCCCCCCCCTGCCCCAGATCAAGCCCCTTCTCTGGAGCCCCTCTCTTGGTACTAGCTGTACTCTGTCCATGAGAATGTATCTCACAGAGTTGTTCTCAATCTTGGTAGCCAGGAAGAACCAAGACAGCATGGGGCCTTGTTCCCCATGGGACTTGGAGCTCTGGAATTTATTTTGTCTTTCTGCCTAGGGAAAAGCCATGGAAAATTACTGGGAAAACTAGCCACTAGTACAATAGGCTACAGAGCTACAAATAAAAATACGAAGAATGCAGAGAACATATAAAAGAGAAAAAGGCAAAACCAAAAATGGTGTCAGTATTGCTGTTAGTGGTTTTGAGATGAAATTTTGGTTAATTTCTGACCTTCTCTAATAGACAGAGTGCAGGAAAAAGGGAGAGGTAATATTACCTGTGTCTCGCATAATACTAACTTCTGACTGGGAAGGAGGGGAAAGTGCAAAGAAATGGGGAGATAAATGTAAGTGCATACTTGAAGCAGAAGAACGGAAACTAACTAGACAACAGCTAACCAATTAGCTGCTGAAAAAGGAAGAATACAAAGAAAGGAAGATTGTAACCAATAAGTCTTTTGTTATACTTTTTAACAGACAAGAACTCAGAATAAGAAAACACATCAAGGTAAAGAACTAAAGAAGGCTAGAATAATACTACCAAACCCTTACTCTGAGGAAGAAAACTTGAGATTTATTTTATTTTCTGTAAAATCTGCTTTTGTGTTCAGTCTATCTGTCCATCTGATTATATGAGCACACAGATAGTGTGCAGAGATTTCAAAGAAGTGGAAGTTACATATATCTGAGGGTTGAAATTATTCTGTTATACAAATTTTCTACATGAAGGTGACTGAGCAAGAGCTATACACACTTGCTCTTCATAGCCCTCTGCTGCTTGCTTGAGCAGTATTCAACCTCAGTAAAGAGTCTTTGAGAAGAGAACTGATTGTAATGTTTCAGCATTGGTGGAAAATGAAACAAGTATTGCCTATGGATCAAGGAAACACCACTGAAGGCCCAAACCCTTCAGGAGTATTCAAAACCCAACAAATTTGTTTTCTAGTCAGCGGCAACATGTGAGCAAGACGTGAACTTTACTTTTACCTGCTGTCCTGAGTCAGCAGCTTGATGCATGCCGTGTGCCCACAGTATATTGCATATGTCAGAGGAGTGTTTTCATTGATGTCTCGAGGGCTGCTGTCTATCCCCAGTTCCAGCAGTGTCTGCACACAGTCAGCTTTCCCTGCTGCTGCAGCCCAGTGCAAAGGAGTCCTACAGGAAAGGGAGAGTATAATTAAAATAGATGAATAGATTTACAATCAAAGCTATTAATGACATAGTGAGGGGTGCACAGGATATACTTGTGCAGATTAATAATATACATTTTAAGAAATTCTCCAGCCAACTGCTGTAGCTGCCTTTATTTAGTTGCAGATAAAGTAGATATGGGGCTGCAGAATGCCTATACCTTATACAATAGCATCTCTTCCACAGCTGGAATTGTAGACTAGGAAAAGTGACTGAAGTTTTCAGACTAGAATTTGAAAAAAACCTTCACAGTGTCCACTGCATAGGGGCAAACTCTTCTCATCTTTAAACCAACCACAACTGGCCATGGTTGGCAGAGGACTCTCCATGAAGGTAATTAGAGAATCCTCTCCCAGATGAATGACAAGGACTGAACACATCTACCAGACTGCCACTTTGCCAGTTTCTGAGTTCTATGACAGGCACAGAACAGAGCACATATAATTGCTTTGAATCTCTGCAGAAGAATCAAACTGATTTTGTTGTTGGCATAAAATCTGCATCTTGTATTTAGAAACTTTTGTCCAGTTTCCAAATTGTTCTTGTGAAAAACCTGAAAGCACAGACAACATCACAAAAGAAGTGTTTAAGAATAAAAAAAAAAAAATTGAAATTTTTCTTTCTATTCCTTTTCAGTCCCAGTGATTTCAGATTGGGTGCAATCAGAAACACAATAGAATGAAAATCTTATAGATGTGTTTGTAAGAAAAGCTTACCTTTTCCCTCTCCAAGTATAATATATTCTGTGGAAATATCTGAGCACGTGGAATAGGTGGTCATGTCTTAATGAACTTTGAAGTGTAGGCAATCTCCTCCCTTTGCTCTTCTTTCCATAGAAACACAGCCTGCTCAACTACATTTTAATGATGTTTAGAAACTGCTCCAGAACCCTGTTCATTTTATTTCTGTTCCATTTTATTGCACTTTTCCATGAAGAATGATATTATTTTAAGAACCTAAAGACTTAAGCCAAGAAAACCTTGGCTTTTGCTTCACTGAGCAGAATAATCAATGTGAATAGCCATCTGGTTCTCTTTGCATTAAAAAAATTTATGAGCAAAATTCCAAGGAAGGTAGGTGTGGGGTGAAAAAGAGGAAAGATGACTCTTCTGTACTTATGAAATAGAGATTTAATCGCAGAAGAAATCACAGGTATTTTCAGAAAGGAAGGTGAGGGTCCCCTGGTCCTGTAGGAGTATCATATTTTCATCTTAAATACAACAAGAGAACACTGCCATTTCTTAAATACATATAATAGCAGCATCCTGGCTTCAAGTTGCAGGATCCTATTGTATTGTTTTAAAAAGAATGTTCACTTTTGATTGAAAGAAACTTAGGTGAGTCATGGCAAAGTCCCTACAGAAATAAGCTCTTTTTCTAGAACAAATAGAAAGATAAATATAATTCTTTCTAGTCAGTTATGGTACTAAGTAGAATACATGTGAGCTGGACTGGTTCGCAGTGTTTCTGAGAAAGCACAGCTCTCTGTGGAGTGCAGGGCATTACTAGGCCATGGCCTGTGAAACAGGAAACATGATTACAAGACAGAGCTGGTCTCAGATTATTAGAAAGGGAGCAGCAATTTCAGAGTTTCCATGGTTACCTGTCATCCACATCAAGGGCCTGCAGGTTGCACTTTGGGACTTTAGCCAGCTCACTGATGATATCACTGTAGCCTGCAGCAGCAGCAATGTGCATGCATGTTTTGCCATTCTCATCATCACAATTTATTATTGATGGTCCCTGCCAGTGGTCCAGAATGATGGAACACAGAATCCTGTTGCCACTCTGGAAGGAAGTCAGAGAAGGAAAGTGTTTTACAATGGAGCTCACACCAGGTTGCATCTTCTCTGCTAGAGAATGCTAAATACAGTAATGGTATTCCTCTGTGTGCATACCAGAATCTCCAGATATGAAAGCCAAAATCTTCCAATCTCCAGTTGGGAATTATGCTTACTTTCTGAATTTTCTAAAACACTCTGAACACTGGAAAAATAACAAATAATTAACCACTGCAGATATCTCCAGAAGTTGTAGAGTGTAAATTGCTTAATAGAAATTACTTGTGATTTTTGCTGTTTTGCTATGCCAGAGTCCAGAAACACAAGCTTATATTTTTCAATAGAAATTTAGAGCTGAAAGGAACCTCAGAAAACCAACCCATATCTGTAAGTCTGTCTCAGTACACTTAGAAAAGCCATGTCAAATATTTGTTCAAGTGCTTCTTGAAAACTTTCTTAGCTAGTTTGCTCTGGTGTCTGGTGTCTTAATAGAAAGTCGATGTTGTTTTCTAACCTGCAAATGAAATGGAACATTTTATATCCTACCTTAGTGGAAACAGAGCAAAAGAATTCATTACTTTTTTATAACAACAGAAACACAAGGTTGCAAAGGTCTTTCTGTACCATCAAATTCAATCCCTGCAATCACTTGAAGCTATGTTACATCATTCCTCTTATAAATTTTGTCCATTAAAGGCAATTAGGTTCCTTTTGCCCCCATTACTCTCAAAGGAACACAGTTCAAGAACTTCTTTGTTTTTATAATTTGTATCTCTAAATTCTATTCACACTCAGGGCTGATTATATCCTTTGTTTCTGTTCCAGCATTATTATTTGGATTAAATACTCCTTTCCTCTTACTGGTACTTGTTCTTCAGATGTATTTATAGGCAATCATCACATCTCTTTTGAATTGTTCTCTTGCTGCTCTAAGCAATCATGGTCTTCTAAAGCTTTTTTTTTTAAATATGCTTTCTGTTTCTCTCATTAACCTGGTAACCCATTTCCTATTGTGTTTTAGTTGTATTTCCTTGAAGAGAGATGATTAAAATTGTACTAGTCATACAAAGATGTTTTTGCCAGATCTTGTACAGCAACACTGCTCTTCCTTATTTGTGTTAGAAATACCTCTTTTGGTATGTCATAGAACAGCATTTTCCTCATTCACAGCTGCGTCCCATTAGAAGCTCCTAGTCATTTTGGAATGACCCTTTACACCTCAGTACTTCCTTACGTTTTTTTCCAAGAGTAGAGTTTCTAGTTTTGGGGAGGACCTTCTGTTACTAACACCAAAGTGCCTGATTTATACATTTTATCCTATCCAATTTTGTCCCATTTATATTGCTCAAGATTTAAAGGTGATCCATAACCCTGTATGATATCCCCATTCCTTCCTGTTATTGTCTTTCAGTTTTTTATTATTGGCAGATTTTAACAGAAAGCTCCTGTATTATGTGTCAAGATATTATGAAAATATTAAACAAGAGTAATATCAAGTCTTATCCCTGAAAGTAATTTCCTTCCAGCCTCTATTCAACATTTAATCATACTCTTGTTTTCTGGATTTTAAGATACAATTTCTTTTGCTTCTCTGTACTTTTGTATCTTATTTTGTAAGATAGCTACTTATTCTAAATATATCTTTTAAAAATGGGTAGACATCCATTATCTCAAGACTCTACCATACACTTTTCCTCTCTGCTATTGGGATTCAGCTTCCTGTCATATTTTGCACCATTGAGAGGATATATTCCAGGTCCCTGGAACATTCTCATCTTACAACTATTCAGTCCAGCTGAGAATTTCCTTTATTTATCAAAACATGTCCCCCTGAAATCAGGAATTTTGTTTTACATGTACTTTGCTTAATTTAGAGTCTAATCTTGATCATGTAATCCAAGCTTATTTTCTATGGCCAGCATTTCGTAACATCCTGATTAACCATGCTCAAATTAAGTTATAGTTGTCTGAACATCTAGTGAAAAGAGGAGTGTTGATCCTCATGTTCAGGAAATCTGAGGTCCTATGAATAACTGTTGTTTTTATTGTCCAGTCCTTATGCCAGATACCAATATCCTCCATACTGGTGATAATTCCCAGTTACATATTTTCATCATTAGCATCAGTGAAATCTCTAGTCACATTCAAGGCTAACTAAATCTAGAGGTCTATTGCATACTTCTAGGACTACCACAATAAATATCTATCTGTTATCATCCTTCTCTAAGTCAGTTTTGATACAAAAAATTATTTACATTAGTACCTTACTACTTCTGTATTTATGCTCTAGTGACTGGACTATTCCTCCGGTTTTACACTGTCTTGCTAAGTCCAAATTTCACACCCTGCAGCTGCAGTTTCAGTCCCTCCATGTTCTTGCACAACTCTTAGCATTCACATAATAAATTTCCCACTTCTCTGACCGGCATTTTATACTTTTACAGACTGTTCTGTCTCCCACCAATCTTCTGTTTTCTAGACTAAACAAACAATTTCAACCTCCCTGTGCAGGTCATGTTTTCCAATGCACTTATCATACTTGGTGCTTGCTTTTGGCCTGTTTCCAGTTTGTCTACAGTTTTTTTCAACCATGGCACTCCAAACAACACAATTATCCAGCAGAGGCTTCTCTCCTGACATTGAAAATGACTTCCTGCAGCCCACCTGTACCATACTTTTGTTAATATGTCCCAGAATAATGTTTGTTTGATTTATATCAACACCATAACCTAAACTCTTTTGTAATCTGCTAGTCTATTACTCTTAATTTTGTGTAAAAACCTTTAATTTTTTTATTTATATCAACACCATAACCTAAACACTTTTGTAATCTGCTAGTCTATTACTCTTAATTTTGTGTAAAAACCTTTAATTTTTTCACAGTTCTGTATACAGTGTTATTTTATTAACTTCAGTTAATTCCTACAGTTTCTCAAAATAATTTTGAATTTCATCCCTAGCCATGAAGTACTTGATGTCCCTGTAATTTGATTTTCACTGTGGGTTATATGTGTGCTCTGTATTTCGACACCTCATTATGGAACAAATAAAAACATTCTTATGGTACAGCCCTGGTTGGACAGTCTATGAGATATTCACCTCCAAAGATTATTTGAACTGTCTTGAATGTGGCTGATAGAGAATATATGATGTGTGATACACGTCTCTGGTGGATTTTGATGGCATCACTCCTTCTTATTCCTCTATGGGACATCTTGGACAGAGTTCTGTGTCTATTATAGCAAGTTGTGCATATAAAAATTGTGTTATTGATGTTATTCAATGTGATTAAACTTGCATGTAATTAAACTTGCATTAAACTGCTCAAATGAGAAAGGAACAAAGAATTAGACTTTTAATGACCACTGTATTTGCCACATGCTTAGCAAGGCTTCTGCGCCATGTGATGAGTTTTATCTTGTCACTTTTCCAGAATTTTTGTGTTTTATTACATGGGATTAAAATGATTAATTGACATTCCAACATACTAAACCTTATTAGATATAGAAGCCTCTTACCTGAGGAAGTAGTAATTGCTTTGAAGATGGCTATAAAAATTCTGCCTTGTTTCAACAATTCAATCAAATTTCTACTTCCATTTTCTAAGTGATCAAGAATATTTCTTAATATTTGAACTTTCTGCTGCATGAGATTTCTGGGCGACTGCTCAGTGGCTTTCCAGTTCTCTCTTCTTAGGAATGCCTTCTTATCTTTAAATTCCTCTTGGCTCTTTGAAATTGCACTCAAAATTCTCCAAAAATGCTTACAGTGCCCTTATTCTGTGATTGATAGCTTTGAGCTGTGGTTACCAAAAATGTAGTGTTCCTGTGGTAAATTTACCGCAGCACTATTGTTAGACCAGAATGTTGTCTGGTAAATTTACCATAGGAAAATCACGTGTTTCTGTAACCTTACTGTACGCATCACTAAATTTCATGTTCCCTTTTTGTATTCAAATTCTTTACAGCAGAGATTAAAATGTTCTCAGAGATTATCAGTCATTTTTGCTATTTGTTTTTGCTTTTTTGTTTCTAAATAGTTTTGCAGGACTTTTCCCCACCCCTCCCCTGCTCCTCCCCCAGGACTTTTGTCCCATCTTACACTTTTATCTGCTTCCACCCATTATTGATTCTCCTCAGTGAAATTTTCTTCCTTAGATCCCTTATCTCAATTAAACATACTTTATTGTTCCAGGGTGACTTTACTTGTCTCAAACCAGCATATTTATGAAGAAGAAATGTCCTAAAGCCTGTATCCCTGAGCTCCTGTAAGAAAAACTCTGTGCTTTATGCAAATTTTTGTCTGAGATTTGTATCATCTCCAGACAATGGCAAACAGCCAAATCACTAACAGATATTTAGCTCTGACACTTGATTACAACTTTAGTTTCTATAAGTTGGCTACTGAAAGTCAGACTTCTGAAACTTGTGTCTCTGAGTGCTTTCCAAATAAGAAAATAATTATTCAGGAAGTATCTATCTAATCAAGTACCATGAGGAGAATCCCAAACCTCTGGGACACTTTTCTAGTTTTGACACTTCTTCTTTCAGCTATGTCTACCCAATTTATCCTCATTGTTACTATAATCACTGTTCTTACATTTCAGCCCTTTCTATGTCCAACTGATAAGCAGAACAATAATTTTATAAAAACTTTCTTGTCACTTACATAATATTTTACCATAACATTACATTTTATTCTGACAGGTTTTCAGTCATAAACATTGAGAAGTTTGTTTTTTGTTTATACTGCACTGTATAGATGGCTATTTTTCCCCCTCTTCAGAATATTCTAGTAAACTAGATAATGGGTTGTCAAAGAGGAGTCATATGAAAGGAGTCTGCTAAGCCTTCTACCAGTAATGGAGAGGTGGTATGGGTAGAGGAACAAGCTATGGACCACTTAACTGGTCGCCTGAAACCCAGATAAAATACTTTTCTTCCAAGTAAATGCCTCTGGAGATTATATGGTTAGGTTGTATTAGTTCTCCTATATTTCCTGTCTGTT